CCCCTTGGTCATAATGAATGATTTTCTTGATATATTGTTGGAATGCATTGGCTAGGATTTTGTTGAAGATTTTTGCATCTATATTTATGATATAGTTTTCCTTTTGAGTGATGTCTTTGCCTGGTTTTGGTATCAAGGTTATGCTTGCTTCATAAAATGAGTTAGGGAGGATTCCATCCTTTTCAATGTTTTGGAATAGTTTGAACAGGATTGATGTCAGTTCTTTTCTGAATGTTTGGTAGAATTCTCTGGTGAAACCATCTGGGCCAGGACTTTTTTTGTTGTTGGTAATTTTTTGATGACCTGTTCAACTTTTCCACACCAGTCTGTGTTAGTTTAGGTAAGTAATGTGCTTCCAGAAATCTGTCCATTTCTTCCAGATTTTCATATTTCTTGGAGTACAGTTCTTCATAGTATCCTGTTGTTATCCTTTTTATTTCAGTTGGTTCTGTTGTGATGTCACCCATTTCATTTTTTACTCGTGTTATGTGTATTCTCTTCCTCTCTTCCTTTGTTAAATTTGCTAGTGGTATGTCAATTTCATTAATATGTTGAAAAAATAAACTTCTATTCATGTTGAGTTTTTCTATTGTCTTTCTATTTTGTTTCATTGATTTCTGCTTGAATCTTTATTATTTTCTTTCTTCTGTTGACTGTAGACTTTTCTTGCTGTTCTTTTTCGAGTTGTTGGAGATGTTGATTTTGGCTGTTCTTTTTTGATGTGTGCATTTATTGTTATAAACTGTCCTCTGATCACTGCTTTTGCTGTGTCCCAAAGATTTTGGTATGTTGTGTTTTCATTCTCATTTAATTCAAGGAAATTTTTCAATTTCACTTTTTCTTTCTTCTCTTACCCAGTCTTTCTTAAGGAGGGTATTGTTTGCTTTCCATGTGTTTACTCTTTTTCCGTTGATCTTCCTATTGTTGATACCTACTTTGATAGCATTATGATCTGAGACAATGCTTTACAGTATTTCAATGTTTTTAAATTTATGAAGGCTTGCTGTATGGCCTGATATATAGTCTATCATGGAAAATGTTCCATGTGCACTGGAAAAGAATGTATATTGTGCTGTTGTTGGGTGAAGTGCTCTGTAGATGTCTATAAGGTCAAGTTGGTGGACTGCATTATTTAGCTCTTCTGCATCTCTTTGAGTTTCTTTCCAGGTGTTCTATCTTTCATTGAAAGTGGTGTATTAAAGTGTCCTACTATGACTGTGGAGTCATCTATTTGCATTTTCATCTCTTTTAAAGTCTGATTTATGTATTTTGGAGCTCTTTCATTGGGTCCATAGATATTAGCGTTATATCTTCTTGTTCAACTGATCTTTTAATTATTATACAATGTCCTTCTTTGTCTCACATGGTGGTTTTTGTCTTAAAGTCAATTTGATCAGAAATTAATCTTGCCACTCCTCCTCTTTTATGGTTGCCATTTGCTTGACAGATCTTTTTCCGACCTTTGATTATTAGTCTATTTTTGTCTAAGTCTCTAAGGTTTTCTCTTGTGCACAGCATACTGATGGATTTTGTTTTCTTATCCAATCTGCAACTCTCTGTCTCTTGAGTGGTGCATTTAATCCATTAACATTCAGTGTAATTATTGACAAGTCTGAATTGGTTGCTGTCATTTTGTTAGGTGTCCCTGGTTTCATTCCATATTATTTTCTGTGCTGAGCTCACTATGTTTATGAATCATGTTATCATTTCCTTTGTTGCTGTTGTTTTAGTATTTGCTGAATATTTGTGTTTGTTTGTCCTCTTTTTTACTGTGATGTGAATGTTGGTTATTTTTCTTTGAGGTTACCCTGTGATTTATAATTTTCTCCTTGAGATTAGAACAGTCCATTCTATCTTGCAATTCTCTTTCTCACCATTTAGAAGTTCTGTAACTACACACTATTTTCCCTCTTTTTGGTTTGTAGTTGTCCTCATTTGCCAGTTGAAATCTCTGGTTCTCTGTTTACAATCTTGGAAGCTTATTTTACTTAGCATATCGCCATAGCTGTGGTTTCTGAGTTATGTCATCTTGTGTATTAATGGTTGCTTGTTGTTTGCCATTTTTGGTTCTCTGTTCAAAGGACTCCAGTTAGTATCTCTTGTAAGGTTGGACTGGTTTTAACAAATTTCCTTAGTTTCTCCTCATCTGGAAATCTCTTAATTTCACCATCATATTTGAGGGACAATTTTGCTGGGTATGTAATTCTTGGTTGAAAAGTTTTCTCTTTCAGGGTTTTTATATACCATCCCATTTCTTTCTCGCTTGCATGGTTTCTGAGAAATCAGAGCTTATTCTTACTGGTGGTCCTTTGTAAGTAACTTTTTGTTTTTCCCATGCTGCTTTCAAGATTCTTTCTTTGTCTTTGGTTTTGATGTGTTTGATGATGATATGCCTTGGTGATTTTCTTTTCGGGTCTATCCTGTTTGGAGTTCACTGGACTTCCTCAATGGATATATTTTCATCTTTCATCGTATCAGGGAAGTTCTCTTCCAACGAATCTTGGACAATTTTCTCAGTGGTTTTCTTTTTCTCTTCCTGTTCTAGAATTCCAATGACACGTAGGTTATTCCTTTTGATGGTATCCCACATGATCCTTAGGCTTTCTTCATTTTGTTTTGATCTTTTTTCTGCTTGATCCCTTTCCAAAAAAGTATCCAGGTATTTGTCTTCAATCTCACTAATTCTGTCTTCCATTGCATCAATTCTGCTCTTTTGCCCCTTCAATGTATTCTCTATTTTTGACAATTTAGTATTAATCTTCTGGATTTCTATCTGTAGATTTAGAATCATTTCTAATTTCTCATTTATTCTGTCATTTTGTCCTTGTACTTTCTTCCAAAATTCTTATGGGAGTTGTCTGTGTTTTCCTTGTCTGTCTCTCAATCCTTTAAAGATACTTATTAGGGAGTTCCAATGCTATTTCTTCCTCAGGGATGTGTTCTGGGTCTGTATCCTTCTCCCTTGTGTCTAACACTTTATCTTGCTTCTTTGGGTGGACTGTGATGGTCTGTTGTCTCCAAGACATCGTTACATTGTTGTATTTAGATCTCTGTTAACTTTTCTGTAGTCCGTGCTCCAGGATGTCTTTGTGGTTCCCAGCAAGAGGAACCTCTTCTTAAGTCCCTGGAATTTGGGAGAACACTGTCGTTTTAAAGATCCAAAATGGTCAAGCCACTTGTAAACATTCAAAATGGCTGCACCCTCTGGACAGGCAAAAGTTCACAGCTCAGCCCGTCTTCGTCTTTGCTGCTTCACTTTTTATTCCCCAGCCACCAGAGCAGTCCTCCGTGCAGTTCCTGGCTAGCAGGGCTGATTTTTAGGTTAATTCTTAGGTTCTACCACCACTCAGCAATCTCCTAGCTGTCTGTGCCATCAGGATCACTGCCAGACCGCAGCTCCATATGTCTCCTTTTTTGGTCTTTTCATGCAAATTCTTCTGCTAATTGGAGTTTAGTCCACTTCTATATCCTTTCCTTCATGGTTCAGGGGTCCAGGATTATCTTCTGTATCTGTGTTAACTGGTTTCCCTTTTCTTTGTTGAAGAGGGTCTGTGCAGTCTTTCTGCCTATTTCGCCATCTTACCACAACTTACCTCCCCCTTTTTTTAACTAAGAAAACTTCGAAAGGAATTTCAAACAATATCATTATTTCACTTTAGCCATGTTTTTCTACCAATCAAAATTACATTTTCAACTTTCTGCCTCAAGTTCCTTAAAAATCAATCTACAGTATTTACGGTGACTTAGCAATGGTTAATTTCTGAGGGCTTTGGAAATTATGAAAGCTGTGGACCTACTCCCAAGAAAAGTACACACTAGGTAGTCACAATTTTGAACATCATCCTGAGCAGGAAGGGAGCCAGGGGTGAGTAGTGGGTAAGAGGTAGGCAATGAAGATCTCCCTGAACCCTGTATAGATGTTTGAAAAAGGTCTGAGTAAAGGGATTTCACATCATACCCACACCTTTCCGCACTTCAGGCCATTGAGTTGCCACAGTAGACATCATTTTGGTTGGGGTATCTCCAGAAATTTCCTATTGAAGTGCTACCATAGCCTGCAAATATATCCATTTCCATGCAATGTATAAACTCTTGAGACAGGCACATGAAACTTACAGAAAGAAAAGAGACACTTAATAAGAATATTTTCAGTTTCTTTCATAAACTTTCTAATACTCCCATCATCCTTAACATTGAAAAGTTTTAGAAAAGGGTTTTGAGATGTACAAGAGTATACAGTATCACAATCATGTTTAATGAGTACGTTCATGTTTATGTAGACGCTAGGTAAAAGAATCTCCATTTGTAGTTTTCTTGGGGAAAAAAAAACATTCTACCATATTTTATCTTTACTAAGAAGAAATAAACCCATATACAAGATAGATATGTAATGTTTGACTACTTTCAATAAGCACTTAATTGAAAAACTTTTTCCTTACATCAACTATGTCACATAGGTCTTTAATTTACAAACTGTGTAAGACAACGATTAGCCTGTGCTGGTTCACACAATATATCCAAACTGCTAACAACCTGATTCTAACATATTTGTACATTGTCAGTACTGAGAAGTGTCATGATTCATAGATTTTCTAATTCTAATTAAAATCCATAGACAAAAAAATGCTTATAAATTTATAAAAAGTTACAAATTTATAAATAAACCTGCACATTCACAGAGAAGAGCTGTTTAAGTAAGATGTTTCCCTCTAAATGAGAGTTTTATAAACTATGCAAATCTGTTTTATTTGATTTTGAAGGAAAATATAAATTAATACGTAAGTGCAACAATATCATGAACTTCTGATGTTTAAATTATCTTAAAATGTGTCATGAACACTATAAAACTTTCTGTTTATGCTTCTAGCTGATAAGGCAAAAAGGGACCTTTTTATAAATTGATTGAAGAATTCTTCACATGGCTGTTTATGACGAGTTGTTGAATTTGAAGTCTTTGCTTTTTCTTTCGTCCAAAGATGAGACGAGTCTCTAATTTGATATCAAAATCGATTTGCTGCTCTGCTAGCCACAGCACGAATATTGCCGTAAACTTTTGATGGAGGGTTTCCTGCGGGGGGGAGGGGGGGAGAAAAAAAAGGCTAATCTACATATACAAATACACTGCCATATATAGAAGCTACATGGAAAAATATTAGAGGAATATTTTTCCATTGGATCTATTTTAAATTACTAAAACCTCTTTGAAGGAAATCATACTCAAATATTTTCCAAAAAATCACTTTTAACTCCTAAGAGCTAAAGGCACTGACTTGTTAAAATATTTAAAAAACAAGCTAACTGGTCAGCCCTGAGCACTAAAGGAGACCCACTAGTTTCTGAAGAAACTCTTGCCATCCTGTAACTCTTATAAGAAAGCTTGGACTTTTCTGCATGATCATGCAAATGGAGAAAAGTGCCTTTGACTGAAGCTGATCAGTAGTTCCTTTTTTGTTAGACCCAAAACATAACATTCCCTGCTATTCTGGAATGACTTCTGTGTACCTCATCAGGGGAAACTAGCAAAAATTAGACTATAACCCAGTAAACCATTTCTTTTCTCCAAGAGAGAAGTAAAACTACTCCTTTAGGCCCACATTTACCAACCCCCTAAAAGTTTTGTATTTACCAACTTTAACATTACCCTTAGCCTAAACTAGGTTGCTTATGTGGTTTGAGTTCCAAAATCCTCTATTCTGTTTTTTCCAGAAAAAACACCAAAGGAATAAACTGCTATTACCCAGAATGAGGTTGCAAATGGCAGTTCTTGCCATCTTGATGTTTTGGAAAGAGCCCAGAATGTGAACTTTCCTGGAAGAGAAAAGTGGGAGAAGTTAGCAACATAAGGCATTTCCTAAACTGCGTCCTGTAGGACAGTAACTCTGGACAGTCACAGTACAGATTCCTAAAAGAAGGTAAACTGCCTTACCCACCTTTGATATTTGCTATTGTCCTAACGAATAGCTAATAAACACTGGGTGGTGCAAACAGTAAAACGCTCAACTACTAAAGATTGGCACCTCAGAAGACAGTGATCTGCTTCTGAAAGGTCACAGCCTTGAAAACTATGGAGTGGTTTTCTACTCTGCATACATGGGGCTGCCATGAGTCGGAATCCATTTAACAACAAACACTGGCTAGCCCAGCTGAAGTGATATCTGCATCACTGCCACCATGGAAGCACAGTGCCATCCCTTTTCCTTCCAGCAGCTAAGATTAACTGGAAGCCCTGTTCTTTAACAGGGCCTTGGTGTCTGAGGACCATGGCTTCAGCAGAAATGTGAAAACCAAAGAACAGGATGGCCTTACTTTTTGAGGGGGGAAAAAAATGTTTGAGATTTGCTCCATGTAACATTAAGAAAAAAAAAAAATCCTAGGAATGGATTCACACCAAATATTAATATTGGCCACCACTGGTTAGTAGGATTAGGTTTTTTGTTTCTCTCTATGCTCATCTGCATTTTCTAAGTTTTAACAATAAAGTTTTATCTCACATGTATAAAACGAAACCCTCACTCACTGCGGTGGGATCATTAAATTGGTACAGCTGTGGCGGAAATAGTTTGGTGGATTCCAATTCATGGTGACTCCACGTGTGTCAGAGTAGAACCATGCTCTCTCGAGGTTTTTAATGGCTACTTTCTTGGAAGTAGACAGGCCTTTCCCTCAAGGCACTTCTGACTGGACTCAAACCTCCAACCTTTCAGTTATCAGCCAAGTGTGTTACCTGCTTGCATATGGTAGCATACTATTCAGCAAGTCCATTCCTAATTATATACCCAAGAGAACTGAAAACGTACATCCACAAAAACATCTGTATATGAATATTCACAGCTGCCAAAAGTGGAAACCATAAAATACCAATCAAGTGATCAACAGATAAAACAAAATGCAGTATATCCCTACAATACATTATTATTCAGCTATAAAAAGGAATAAAGTATTGATTAATTCTACAACATTGATGGAGCTGGAAATCATTATGCTAAAAATATGAACACAAAAGACACTTATTGTATATTTTCATTTATATAAAATGTCCAGACTAGACAAATCCATGGAAACAGAAAGTAGATCAGTGATTGCCAAGGACTGGGTGAGAAGAAAGTGGGTAATGAGTATAGAGTTTCTGAAGTGATGAAAATGCTGCAGAATTAAGACAGTGGTGATGGTTGCACAATGCTGAATATATTAAAAACTACTTTTAAGGGGTGAATTTTATGGTATGTGAATATGTGAACTCGATCTCAATAAAAAATTGCTGGGGCTTCATTTATATGTGCTCCTTTAATCCTCTCCTCATCTTCTTTAGTAGATGTTATTCCCATTTTACTAATGAAAAAAGAAATGAATGAAAAGTCAAGTAAGCTAAGAGTACACACTATCAGAGCTAGGGTTACTGAAAACTCAGTAATACAAGTAATATTGTACTTAATTAGATATTTGGGTTTCAACTGCAAAATTTTCTAAAGATTAAATTTCTTCAGTACTGAGAATCATCCAGACTCTTTCAATGGACATTCCTAAATAACCTAAATAAGACCGGCAGTACAGAATTTTGCCTTTTCTGCCCTATACTCCAAGGAACTCTGGTGGTGTAGTGCCTAAGGCATTTGACTGCTAACCAAGGTTGGCAGCTCAAACCCACCAGCCGCTCTGTGGAAGGAAGACTGGACGATCTACTTCCGCAAAGATTTACTGCTTTGGAAACCCAATGGGTGTCGCTGAATTGGAATCGACTTGATGGTAATGGGTTTGGCCCTACCTTCCAAAATGCTTTTTAAACTATCCGCATGCCCAACTTAAGGGACTCTGGTGGCGTAGTGCCTAAGGCACTTGACTGCTAACGAGAAGGCTGGTGTTTCAAACTCACCAGCCACTCCTCAGAAGGAACACTGGGCAATCTACTTCTGTAGAGATACTGCCTCAGAAACCCAAAGAGGGGTTGCTATGATTGGGACTGACTCAACAGCAATGAGTTTGGGTTTGAGTTTATGCCCAACTTTGATAAAAGTATTATTTAAACAGAGTATGAAAGATGATGAAATTGAGACAGTAAGAATGGATAAAGTGTGAAGAACTTTGCTACTAAAATATCAGTAGTAAGAGCAGCAACTAGAAAGGAATGTGGGTCACAAGACGTACAAGTAAAATTATTTCCAGTCTGGCACATTTAATATTATATCTGGAACATACTGTTTTTAGGTTTATATTCTGCTCACCTTCTATCTTATTTTGCCAAGTCATTAGTAACTTATCAAAAATAATATGTCTACCTGTAAAATAGTCAGAACTTACGGGTGTATCACAATATTGCTAGCTGATTGCTGAGTCAGTCCCCAACTCGTGGCCACCCCATACACACTAGGACTGGACCACTGTGACCCACAGTTAGCTTCATTTTTGAAAGCAGATTGCCAGGCCTTTCTTCCTAGTCTCAGTCTGGAAGCTCTGCTGAAAACTGTTCAGCATAATGACATGGAAGCCTCCACTGACTCACGGACAGTGGGTGCACATGAGGTTCACTGGCTAGGAATCAAACTGGATTTCCTGAATGGCAGGTGAGAAGTCTACCAACGAACTACCACTGCCCTGTAAAAATTAATATAAATTGTTAAACAACTCGATTTCCAATTAGCCCATTTATAGCGAAAGCTACATGATAGTATATTCCTTTAATTTCAAGTAGTTAGTAATTCAATTAGTAAAATATTGAATATAAAAAACTTTAAAGATTTTTAAAGCAATTCAATGGCAACATTTTTATAATAGCCTCAAACTGGAAAAAAAAACCCAAATGTTCAACCGATACTGCTGTTGTTGCTAGGTGCCACTGAGTCTTCTCCAACTCATAGCGACCCTGTGCACAGCAGAATGAAACACCACTTGGTCCTGCACCAACTCCACAATCTTGTTATACTTGAGCCCATCACCACAGCCACTTGGTCTATCCATCTCATTGAGGGCCTTCCCCTCCTTTGTCAACCCTCCACCTTACCAAGCATGACATCTTTCTCCAGGAAATGGTCCCTTCTGATAACATGTACAAAGTAGGTGAGACGAAGTCTGGCCATTCTCGCTTCCAAGGATTATTCCAGCTGCACTTCCAAGGACAGATTGTTAGATCTTTCAGCAGTCCATGGTACTTTCAGCATTCTTCACTAGCACTGCAACTCAAAAAGATCAACTCTTCTTCAGTCTTCCTTATTCACTGTCCAGCTCTCATATGCATGAGGTGACTGAAAATACCATGGCTTGTGTCAGGTACACCTTAGTCCTCAAGGAGACATCCCTGCTCTTCAGCAAGTGAAAGAGGTCCTTTGCAGCCTATTTGCCCAGTGCTATACGTCATCTGATGTCCTGACTCTGCTTCCATTGGTGTCGACTGTAGAACCAAGCAATGTGAAGTCTTTGACAACTTCAACCTTTCCCCATTTATCATGATGCTGCTTATAGGTCCAGTTGTGAGAATTCTTGTTTTCTTTATATTGAGATGTAATCCATATGGCAGACTGTATTCTTCAATCTTCATCAGTAAGTGCTTCAAGTCATTCTCACTTTCAGGAAGTAAAGTTGTATCATCAGTGTATCGCAGATTGTTAATGATTCTTCCTCCAATCCTGGTGCCACGTTCTTCATATAATCCAGCTTCTTGGATTATTTGCTCAGCATACAGATTGAATAAGTATGGGGAAAGGATACAACCCTGACACACTCCCTTCCTGATTTTAAACCATGCAATGTCCCCTTGTTCTGTCTGAATGACAGCCTCCTGGTCTCTCTATAGGTTCCTCATGAGTACAATGAAGTGTTCTGCTATTCCCATTCTTCTCAATGTTACCCAGTTTGTAATGATCCACACAATCTAATGCTTTTGCATAGTCAATAAAACACAGGTAAACATCTTTCTGGTATTCTTTGCTTTGAGCCAAGGACCATCTGACATCACCAATGATATCCCTTGTTCCATATCCTCTTCTGAATCCAGCTTGTATTTCTGGTGTCAATATACTGCTGCAACAGTTTTTGAATTATCTTCATAAGATTTTACTTGCATGCGATATTAATGATATTGCTCAATAATTTCCACATTCTGTGGGATCACATTTCTTTGGAATGGGTACAAATACGGATCCTCCAAATCTCTTGGCATAACCGAGTGGGTGCCTCCAGTGGGGCATCTGTTTGTTGAAACATCTCAGTGAGTATTCCGTCAATTCCTAGAGCCTTGTTCTTCACCAGTTCCTTCAGTGCATCTTTGACTTCTTCCTTCAATACGATTGATTCTTGATCATATGCCACCTCCTGAAATGGATAAAGATTGACCAGTTTTTTTGGTACAGTGACTTTATGTACTCCTTCCATCTTCTTTTGATGTTTCCTGTGTCATTCAATATTTTGCCCATAGAATCTTTCAATATTGCAACTCAAGGCTTACATTTTTTCCTCAGTTCTTTCAGCCTGAGAAATGGTAAGTGTGTTCTTCCCTTTTGGTTTTCTAAACTCCAGGTCTTTGCACATTTCATTGTAGTAACTGGCTTTGCTCAAGCTGCTCTTTGAAATCTTCTGTTTAGCTCTTTCATCTTGTCATTTCTTCCATTTCCTTTAGCTACTCTCCATTCAAGGCCAAGTTTCAGAGTCTCTTCTCATATCCATTTTGGTCTTTTCTTCCTTTCTCATCTTTTTAATGACCTCTTGCTTTCTTCATGGATGATGTTCTTGATGTCATCCAATTCTTCTGGTTTTTGGTCACTGAGGTTCAATGCATCAAGTAGATTCTTTAGATGGTCTCTAAATTCAGGAGGGACATA